ACACAACATTTGAGCAAGAGCCCCAGACATCCTTCACAGAGCAGAAACAGGCACCGCAGCTGCTGATTCACCTCCACCCTGAGATGGAGATGGAAGATAGGGGGATCAGCCCCACAGCCCCCGGCTGGAGAGTCTGCAGGGACCGGCTCTGATCCAGAGCTGCTTTTAGATGGATGAACTTAGATGGCAAAATTAAATTCAACCTTGGACTTTTCCCAACCTCAGTCCTCTGTAATACAGCAGATTGGCTCTTTTGGAGCTTTACAAGCAATGTATGAAAGACTCGGGACTTAAATTTGCAGTAATAATCACCCCTTGGGTTATCTGACAGTCATTAGACAAGGAGCAGAGGCAGGATATCTGATTAGGGCATAATCTGGCCTCACAAACGGAATGAAACAACTTCTTTCTCCGTAGCTCATTTTCCTCAGCGGTAAGGTGGCCGTAATCACATCTCCTACACAGAGTCTGTGAGGTGCCTCCCCCAGACACTCGGGAAGGCTTTGGGAGCACCAGGGAAAAGTGACGTGTATTCACAGCGCTCCAGCCCCTCTGCAGGGCTCCGCACCGGGGACAAGCAGGGAGCACGGCCCCTACCAGGGGAGCCTCATGCTCCAGGGGACCATGAGGAATGGTCATGTCCCTCCCCAGGGGGACCTGTCACACCCCAAGTGCCCTGCGTGTAACCTCCAGGTGCTGGGCATCTGCCACCACCAGCTTATTCCATAAGTGAGGGATTTAGAAACAAAAAACAGCTGAATCAGTGTTTAATCTCACAAAGATTATGACACAATTTGAAAAGCAGCTGAGGCTATGGAGTACCCAAAACACAGGTCTTGGCTTGGTTCACAGTCTTATTTTGCCCACAAATCTACAGGCAGCAGGGCTTGGATGCCTCCAGGATGCTCTGAGGGACTTTGCTGAGGGGTTTTAACCCAAAGCCTGATTTCTCAGCTGTGCTTTGACCTAAGGATACAGCATTCATTAACCACCTGAAACGTGAAATACAGTATTATAAAAGACAAAAATGATCCCATACTGGGATGAAATGGTAGCATGTTAGAAAATACTAGAATTCAAATAAATCCCAATACAGTGGAAATGGACAAAAACCACCCAAACAGGATGCGGTGCGATTCAGCAAGGACCAGCACAGAGGTCTAACCCACATCCTAGATGCCCTCAAGCCAATGGCTGCAGGAGGTTCCTATGAAAGATTCAGATCTTGTGTGGGCTGAATCACCAGATTTTATCAGCAGCAGCTACAGAAATAGCTGAGGGTGACAAGTTCTCCAAGCAGGTGCTCGCAGGGAGGTGGGATGGAGCCGACTGCGAATCGAGGTGTGGGAGGCTATCAGAGCCCTGTGAGAGAGGGCTGGCAGCATCCAGGCTGGATTCCCCTGCCCCAGGAGCAGAAATTCACCTTGCAGAAGCTGTGGATTAGAGCTGCTCCCTCTGCAAACCTCTAACGCCGTGCACTGGATCCTCAACGTGAAAAGCCACTGGGTACCAGGCAGAGCAGTTCTGCTTCCAGAGCTTGTTGCACTTAATCAGACAGTTTGCCTGGGGTCCTACCACATGCTCAGGCATTCCTCCTGTGTAAGAAACCAGGACAGAGCAGCTACAAGAGCCAGAAAGCCTGACCCCGTGCTGCATGCTTTGCAGCAGCCTGCCCACTCCCAGCAGATCCACACAGCTGATTCCTCCAGAGCCCGCACATCCCTGCAGCCCCACGAGCACAGAGCCTCCTGGAAACACCCAGACATTCCCCATCAAACAGGGCCAGCAGAAGGCCCTCCAGGCTGTGTTAATAAGCCCCGATTTTGCCACAAAACTGAAAGCTCCTTGGAATTGGACAACACGCCGTGTGCCACCTGCTCGGCTCCACGTGACTGCCAGGTATCGGCTTAGAGGGAAACGCAAACAAACCCACCCCTGCACGCCTCCGAGAAATTCAAACAAGGTCATCTCCAGATGGCAGGCAGGAGGGCACAGAACAGCCGGGGTAAAGCAGCCACCCTGGTGCCAGCAGCCCAGAGGCAGAGGCGAGCAGGAGGAGGAAAGGCACAGCTCACCAGCACGCATCTCAGCAGCCTCCTCTCCACGCGCTTATTGCCACGCTGAGCTCAAGGTGTCTGAACACCAGCTCTCCCCCTCTCCTGACCCACTGTGCTCTATCCAGTGGTACCTTTTGCCATAAAACGTGCACGTTCAAACACCACCCAACTCCTGGTCCTGAAGGGCTTGACCTAAGAAACCTGTGGGTTTGTTTTTTTTTCCTGTAGTTGTCATTTTGGCTGTCCAGCTGAGAATTAAAACCAACCCCACACGTTCTAAGGTATATCAAAAGCAGCACAATTCCTGTGTTTAGGGGCCTGGGCTCTGTCTGGCAAGCACAAAGAGAGCCCTGCATCCTCTACCTGTGCTGTGCTTATACAAGGGAAGCTCCGAAGACAACCCTACAAACTGTTTATGGCTCCTGTGCTAGTGATGGGAAGGGTGAACTCCCATGCAGGTGTTTAACCTCACCGTGAAGTGTTCAAAGAGCAGAAATCATCAATAAAAGCTTCTCTTTCTGCTTACAAGAACTCAAACTACCTCCTCATCAGGCTACCTGTAATAACACAAATACAACTGAAAACCCAGGTGCTACTTGTAGAGCTGTTACCTCCTCGGAGGGCATCACAGCTCTATTCCTGCATCCCACCCAGTATGACCCAGTAAAACTTCTGAGTATTCTGATTCATTTTTGCACACCTCGCTAAAGAATTTGCTTGCCTTTGTCTTGATGTTTTCTCTTGCATCTTTACAAGAGTTCACACCTCTCCTCTACCTGCCCTGGAGCTGAGCAGCTTTGGCCCAGCAGCCCACAGCACCCGGTTCGCTTCCTGTCCTCAAGTTCCCTGCCTTCAGGACAAGTTAAGAACACACTGCAGAAATGATAAAAATATCTGTCAACCCTCCACAATCAAGGCTTAGAGCAAAGAACAGCATGTCCTAGATCTCACCCACATGCCCGGGGTGTCTGAGGAGCGAACATGCTCCGTTTGTCCGGAAAGTTTCTGTTTCTTCCTTCGCTGCTCCTCATCCCAGAGCTGCATCCTCCAGGGTCGCATCCTCCCCTCCTGCTCTGCCCTCTCTCCTGTCCTTCTCCTGGAGGCTCTTTTCTCCCAGATTTGTGTGGTACACAGGGCCAGCCAGCTCTGCTTCTGCTTTTCCATTCCCTGACACATGCTTCTGCCGTCCCTGCCCTGCAGGAGGGCTGCTCACGGAGGGGCTTCACACACAGAAGTGTCCCCGGGGCAGGGAATGAGGGCACTTGGCTTTTACCCAGGACTAAGGTTGGGTTTTCCTCCTAGAGACTGTGGCTGTGTCCCACACCAATCCTCCAGCTCCTTGCTTCCCATGTACGGAGCTGCCAGCCCTCCTCCTGTGCTACAAACCCTGCCGACAGCATCCCACAAAAGTCCCACAAGTGAACAGGAGCAGTTTGTGAAAGGATCTAATGCAGATGCCTCCCATAATAAGCACCCAGCATGTTACCACAAGAGGTTTTTCTGGCCTATATCCATTCCTGGGTGCTCCTGTGCTTATATTCATGCCCCAAAGGGCATAAGAGGCTCAGTAAAATCTGAACATTAATCCTGACAGATTATGAAACAGCTTCTTAACCATTCCTTCTCCACCATGACTTAAGCACAGGGCTCTTGTTATTCCATGATGATCTTAAAGAAGTCAGAAAAAACAACAACAACAAAAAAATAATTCAGCTATCCTCCCCTCTGCCACCCACCTTCCCCATTGCCCCCCAAATCATGGCATTTATTACAAAACCTTGCTGCGTGATGCTGATTCCCAGGACAGGGGCTGACACGGGCAGCAGAGCGGCTCTGCCATGCAGGAGCACTCAAAGCCTTTGTGGATAGATCGAAGGCAGGACAGCTGAGCTCATCCTTCATACCCTGAGCTGCAGAAATCAGCTGTCGGATTATTTCACATCACTGTTCAGAGGTTTATCTGACAACAAAAATCCACTCCGGGAGATAAATCCCAGCCTCATGTTGCAGCTGCCAAGGGGAAGGGAGAGACCACCCAAGCCATGACATCCCCTTAGAACCGCGCAGCACCAACAGCCTTCCCCTGCTCAGACCTGGGACTTGCCAACTAAAGCATCTCACTTGTCAGTACAGCAATCTGAGAAAATGTTTACAGATGCAGATGTAGCTGAATGACAATTAATGTCAAAGGACAATTAGCTACAGCAATGTTAGCCCTTCGGGCTGCGCAAGTCTGATCTATTCAGTAAATATGCAGCACTTTCAATAGCTGTAACCTACCCACTGAAAACATAAAAACAGGCACTTGAAATCAAAGGGTAGGATGCAGTGGGTTTGGTACAGCTTGGGCACAACTCAAACTCACATCTCTGTGTTATGCCCGCTTTGATAAAAACACGTTCTTAAACACGTGAAGGCAGGACACCAGAGGGGAAAAAACCCTTCATGCGGCAAACAGGGCTGTGAGAGCACACAGCAAAGGTCTGATTTTAAGGATTTCCTGGTGCTTCTAGCAACTGACCTCAGATAAAAGCAATACAGCACACGTGACTCCCTTTATTGTCAGGACACCAAAGATCAGGGAGGTCAGAAAGCTTCCCCAAAGCAAAGCAGAGGACTGGGAGAACCACAGTGTTTCAGGAAAAGCAGCAAGGTCAGATTTCCACACTCCAAGTTAATGAATAGAGTTTCAGCCTCACTGATTTGAAAAAACAGTTGCTTTTGATTTTAAAGATTGAAAGTCATCTTGGAGGGGAAAAAGGGCAATCAGATATTAGGAAGCAAAGCCCTCGGATAGACCTGGAGCATGCCAGCCCCAGAGAAGCTGGGTGTGCCCCCCATCCGAGCCAGTGCAGGACACTTGCTCCTCACATCAGCGCATGCTCTTCATGCCCACATCTGTATCCTTCCTGCAGGCAAGCCAAAGCCTCCAGCCGTGTTAACTCACAGCTTTTCATCGGCCTTAAACTCACTTGACTAAATCCCTGCAACCTCCCCTGGTCTATCACGTGCAGCTCCTTTGTCCTGACTTGTAACTCGCCGAGATCTGTTATTCTTCTCAGCAACTTTTCTCTGTACATGTCCAGGCACTTTCAACTCGGCTGCTGAGTCACTCAACGACAACTCTTGGCTGTAATTGCCGAGGGCATCTTGTACTCATTTCCTTTGTTTATTCTGTGCATTATATAAGGCTATAGGCAATCCCCATTTCCCTTGATAACGGCAAAAATAAACTCGCACCCAGGGGCTGCTCTTGAGGATTAGGACTCCAGCTTGCTCCCCAGGCAGGCATGCTTGGGGTTTCTCCAGCACTGCTGCTGCAGCCTGCAAAGGGACATAAGGGATGTAAGGGACGTGGCTTCAGGCCCTGCAAGAGGACAACACCATGCCAGGGACTCACTGTGTCTCCAGCAGCTGATTTGGGTTCAGCCCCGTGGCCACAGCAGGATCTGATCTCTTCCCAGGGAAGGCTGGTTTGGTTCCTCTGCTCACCAGCCCCAACAAACACTGTCTCCCCCTGGGAACCAGAGCCCGAGCTCTGCTGTTCCCTCAGTCCCCAGAATAGCAAAACTCCCACACCAGGAAATTATGGACCTTCTCGAGCATTACCATGACCTTTTTATTTTATTTTATTTCCATTATGCTTTTAACTGACTCCTCCCTCTACACTCCTTCTCTAAACAAACCTCCAAGCTGCACAAAGTGTTTCCTGTAAATAATACTCATCTGGCATGGACAAGGAGGGGGGAACAAAACCCTTTTGCTGCTAGTTGCAGCTTGCAACAGCCTCTCCAGTTCAGCTCCCATCTGGGAGCCTTGAAGGCAGTGCCGTGTTGGAGGGGAAGGAAGGGACAGTCGCATGTTCTGGACAGCAGCTCTGAAGCTGCCCTCCCCAGAATGGGAAACTCAGGTCAGAGGTAACGTGTACTGTGCCTCACACTGCGGTAACACAACAAGCAGTGCTAATGCTAGAGTGATAATGTCAGTGAGCCCCTTCTGCCCAGCTGTTTTCCCAAATGTTGTACCACTGGGCAAAAAAAAACCTTTCCCTTCCTCCTGTTACCATCACACACCGATGGTGTTCTCTGCTCTAGAGATCTGCACATGTGTTAAAGCTTCACAAGCTGCACTTCCATCCATGGCAATACAAAGTCCTGTGCTATTCCACAGACTTTGCCCCGGATGTCGTTCTGGCCTTAAGCTGCAAAAGCCATTACCACTCTGGCACGTGCTAAAAGGAGGCATGTAGGAGGCACGTTAACGTCATGCAGAAAGCTCTGCTCGCTATCTGGTACAAGCAGCACCGCTCCCTAAGGGCTTTCCCTGCCTCACAGCAAGCAGTGGCTGGGCAGAGGGGAGCCAACGCTGAGCCTCCACCAGTCTGAGCTGTGGCCAGGCACAACTTCTGCACTGGTCAGCAGCAGGGAAGGGAGCAGGAGCTGCACACAGGCCAGGGGCAAGCCCAGGAGCATGCCAACAGTGATGGAAGTGCAGGAGGAAAGAAGGGAACGTCCTTAGCTCCCCTTTCCTTGTCACTTGTGTACCTGCTTGCCATGGAATTGCTCTGCAGCATTTCCTCACTGCACTTCTTGTCCTTGCTCATCCTGAGCAGCACTGAAGATGATGACGGTATTCTGTGAGAAGAGTTTCTCACCCCATCAGGCCCTGGACAGCATTCTTCTTTCTACATATCACAATTTCTTATGTGGCTTTCTCAGCAGGCTGGATTCCTCTGCTTCTCTGAACCTTCCTAGCAGTCGTTGGGATGTTTCCTACCCAAACAAAGCTCCAGCACTGCCCGTACACGCAGCCAAACCTGGCAGTGGCAGAGCACCCAGCCCAACCCGTCACACCGATCCTGCCACCCCAGCTCTGTGTGACACTGCCGTTGGAGAACTGTTCTGCTAACATCGCATCAATCATCTCAAGCCATCAGAAACATGACTGCAACACAGGGTGTGTTGACACCTAGAGCAATATATTCTGTCAGCATGTGGGTACAATATAACAACTGTGCTTTGTGTTGAACCTCCCGCGCTTGCCTTTCAATTTCTGCAACAAGCAGAGAGGTGAGTTTTCCAGGAGTGACGCCAGGTGCCATCAACAGCTCTCACATCTGCTGAGCCACAGAAAGGCACGGTGAGGCCTCAAAGGCTGCTGACAGTCTGTCCAAGCACCAAGGTGCTTTGCCCCTTGGAGACACCAAGAATTTGTAGGACTCTGGGAAAATTACTAACAAAAGAGGATAGGCACATTACAGATCTAGTTCTGTAACGCACACCTGCTCCATTTTAGAAATAATCAAAGTACTCAAAGGTTTTTGGACGTTAACTTCATAGTGCAAACCTGCTATTGAGAAATCTGGAGGCACGGGGAGGGAAAGATGTGCATTTTCACCCTACAGCCCTGCAGCACTCAGCTGGTGGTAGCCCTTCTCTCTGCATGCCCCCGAATGCTGCTGTAGCTCATACAACACCGGGGCAGCAACCAGCGAAGATGTCAAAGGCCACATCCAACCCTCACACAGCAAAGGGAAGTGGCTCAGGCAAGGACGGAGCAGCAACTGGCTTGTTGTGATGGATCAAGTGGTAAAAAAATAAATAAATGAAGGTGGCTGGGGAAGAAAGCCCACCAGGCAGAACGTGTAAACACGACGAGGCACCAAGGCCGTTGTTTACTGGTTGGAAAATGTGAGTGAGGCATGGACTAATCAGAGATGCAGTTCCTAAAACAATAAGCGAGTGTTTGCCATACAGAAACTGGATCGTGCCTGTTTTCTCTTTTGTTTGGGGATTTAAAGCAAGAATAGGGGGCCGTGGACATTTGGTATCAGCCAGCTTTCACACAGATCTGACTTATGGCTTCTTTTAAGTCCACGCAGCTGACCAAGCCAACCTGTAGACCTTTCAGCATCCTGAAAACAAGATACAAAGCCCTTTGTGCACCAGCCTCCTGCTATTCTTGGATTATCAATAAAGTTCATTTTGCAGTCCTTATTTTCCTTCCTGTTACGTCAGTAACACAAGGTATCACAATGCCCACACCAAACCCAGTACTCACAACTTGTAAAGCCTGAAGCTTTGACCGTGATGTCAGGACTGGCACTCCTGGGGAAGTTCACCCCACAGTGGCACTGCCAGTGCCATCCCATCCTCTCCCCACTTTCCTCCTGCCCCTTCAGGTCTCCAGCATTTGCATTGACTTGACAAGTGCTTCAGCTCTGCTGCTGGAGGAAAAGGCAAGAAGCCAGCTTGGGCTTCACTGCTCTGCCCATTTTCTGGGTGCAGGGGATTTTTGTTGTTCCTGCTGTTCTGAAGAAGCCTTCCCAAAGGCTGGTGCATTTCCCTCACTGCAGGCTGTTTGCACAAGCACTACGCAGCTGTGCCAGTGACAGCCGTACCTGCTCCTTCACCAGTTCCCTGCTGAATAACTGCAAAGTGCTTCGGTCTCAATACACAGAGGCTGACCACTTCCTTGCAACAGATGCACCAGGAATATGCTTCAGTGCATCAGGCAGCTTTGTTTCATCCAGGGATAACAAATGGAAATGGTGCGAGGGGGCAGTTTGTTCAGCTGACCTGGCAGAGGCATTGCTTGCACCGAATTCAGGTTTGGAGCAATAGATTTGAACAGCCGCAGACTGAGGATGCAGCTTCCTCTGGCTGCTCGCAAATCCCCAGTGCAGTCATTTATTTGTGAGAGCTTGTTGGCCCAGCAACACAGCTTTGGGAGACTAAGAGCTATCTGGGAGTTTGAGCTCAAGGAAATGGCTTTCTACATATTTCAAAACAAAATATTGGAAGTTTCTGTTAAAAAAATGACAATTTAAATTAAATCAATGTTTTTGTTGGATCCAAGCTCTATTTTTCTTTTTCCCTTGATACTACAGCTTGATCAAGGAACTACGAAATAATAATAAAAAAAAAATCAGCCTGAACAACCTTGCTCATTTTTCCATGGCTTAGACAAACAAAATGCCACTTGGCTCTGAGGACACCGGGTCCGGCTCAGGAGAGAACAATGGGGCTCTGCAAGCCCCGTGTCATCTCCGCCACACCTAGCAGCTTTTATCACAGCAAGGTTAAAAGCCACGGGGGGAATTACACTGGGCCTCTCACGTGCAGTGTCAGCCTGGAAAAGATTCCCTCTTGAATTTTCCCATCTCAGCTGTACCGAGGCCCCTCTCAGCAGGCGCCTGCCCAGCCACAACCCCTGATGCTTGCTTTTAGGGGGGCCAAGCCTGCCCACCGCCCTTCACTGTGCTTCGGCGAGCTCCTGCATTTCCTGCCAGATGCTCTCTTGCTGCACTGCACATCCCTGGGCTAGCCCAGCTGCCGTGCTCTGCAGCGCTCCCGTCACCACCAAGAGCAGCACTTCCCTGGAGGCAGCTGCCCGGTGCTTTGGGGACGTGGCTCTGGCAGCAGGCACCGAGCAGCTGGCATTGGGCACTTCGAGTTGGAGCTCAAGGTCACCCACATGTCCCTGGAAATGCACCTCAGCTGTTTGCTGTCTTCAGCCACACGGCAAAGCAGATTTATCAGGGCCTTGTCTTCAGTCCCTTGCCTTCCCTATCCTATTGTGCATGTTTTATAGGGAATCTGTTTGTGAGTCATGATGAGGGGGAAAAAAATCTCGAATCCTAATGCAACCATCAGGTCAGTTCCCTGTTATTTCTGCATGTTTCCCTATAACCTTAGCTCATATACAAGCAGTTATTTCTAAATACATGCCTTACCAATAAATTAGGACTTGATAATTAAGGTAAGGGTGGGTCACATATGGCAGTTCTGCAGCTACTGCAATTAGTGCAACCCTTATTTCAGCATATGCCAACTTACAAACCTGAAACTATAAGCAGTCTTTGGCTAAAACAGTTTGCATCATCCTTGAAAATGCCTATAAAATATTGTGGCATTTGTCATGAATCCCGTCTGTTGCTTCTTTGGCAATGCAACTGTGCTTGAGTAATGGAAAATGAGAACCCAAAAACTCTTTAAAAAATAATATTTCAGGACAACTAAAATAACTCAGAAGAAACTCTCCTTTCCTCAAGCATCTGAAATAATAGACATCCCTAAAGCAAACATTTAGGAGTTGGCTTCAGCAGTGGTTATTGCTCATTTTTAACTTGCTGTGTAAAATCCCTTTTTTTGCCCTCTTCTCTCCTCTTGCCAGGAAGTTCCAGAAGAGAGCTGTGGGCTGAGCTCCAGCGCCTGCAGCTACAGCACAAAGGTCTGAACCTCTCGTTATCAGTAAGAGGTAAAGCATCCGAAGGCGAGCGCTATCCCAACCGCACCTATATGGCATGTGCTCAAGAGCTGTAGCAGATGGGTAATAATTTCCCCTGAAGGTCTTCAGCAAAGGTAAACCTCGCCTGAGGTGGGGAGCAGCCTGCTAACAGAGCACACCACAAAGCGTTGCTGTGTTAACAGAGGAGGACAGGGCTGGAGCTTCAGCCCCACGAAGTCGTGAAATCTTCTGGTTAGGTTCATTGGAAGCAGGTAATTCAGAATAATTGGAATATATAAATTCAGAATATATGGAAGAGGCAAGGAAGGGATGCTCCCTAACCTCAAAGAGGGGTTGAGGAAGCTGTTTCTTTTGTCCTAATTTTAGGGCAGTTTCTCAGCAAAGCAATGAGTTTTCAGGCTGTCAAGGCTGCCAGCACGGTGCTTGAGAAGTGAGGCTTTGCACTGAGAACTTGCTCATCTGTCATCTCCCTGCTTTCTCTATCCGTAGAAAGCCTGGAGGCTCTGCAGCGCTCTGTACCTCTTACTTGTCTCTTGGATTCCAAATGAATTTCCCCAAAGCAAGTCACCGCTGCTGCTCCCCGATTTGTAAAGCCATCAGATTTACAGGATAAGGAGGGCTGGCTCTGCCCGGCATGCAGGTGGCAGCTCTCCAAAGGCCTCCACAGCGCAGTGGGTGATTCACCGAGTGCTTTTGTTCCCCATGAGCCAGGGGAGGTAAGGCCCCAGCTCAGCACAACGGGGATTTTCACAACCAGAAGCAGAGCCTCTGCAACACACGCATCAGGGCTGCTTGCAAGAGCTGTCTGTGCTTTGGTGGTGGTCAGAGTGCAATTGTGCTGTTGTTTTAACTGGCTAATGCAATTCTTCCCTTCCTTTAACTTCTTTTTTTTGTTTGTTTGTTTGTTTCTGTAAATAGCTGCCGTGTACCAAATCAAAACTCCAGGCAAACAGTGTTTCCAAAATATGATTGCAGTCCCTTTCTGAATTAAAGGCACTGGCCAGATGTCAGTTGATCTTCGTTGCGACACCAAGCTAATGCTAATTTAGACACTGACCAGAGATACAATCACATCATGGGCTTTGAGGTGCCACAGCTTCACTCCAGCACAATTAGCTCAAAGCAAACAAAACAATTAAGGAATACACAGCTTCAACCCTGAGAAGCCTTAATTTCAGGTCACAAAACTAACAGCTTTTCCTTCAGCCCCCCAGCTACCCCCACACCTGTTCCTGTCTGCTCCAGGGCCCCTTCAGCCACTGTGAGCAGCACCTCAGGAGGCCTGTACAAACAGCAGCTTTCCCTAGGTGCAATTCGTCACCATTAACACCAACTTTAATCTATTACAACACGTTAATAACCATTCTTAGCCCTTCCCAGGTTCCTGGCACATACGCCCTAAGAAAAACTCCCTGGCAGTCCATTCAGCCACTTGTGTAAGAGAAATGTACTACGGGGAAATGCTCCTGACTCTAACAAACAGGCAGCAGCATCACACGGGAGTTTCTGAGCACAACCACCAGCTCCCTCAGCTCCACTGAGTCCCGCAGGCCATTACGTGGCTCCGGTGACCGCCGCACAGCGGCTGCCCAGACGCGTGACTCAGGACGGAGACCAGCACCATGACACCGTGTTCCCGAAGCAGGCAGGGTGAAGCCAGGGCAGAACGGGGCTTGCAGAGCAGAGTCATGGGCTGGAAGCCGGAGCCAAACAGAAATATGCTGCAGAGCCAAAGTCTGCACCAAGAAGAGCTGCCAGAGGGCACCAAGCTGCACGGGGCGAGCCACGGACCTGTCACAGGGCACACGTCCGTGCTGTCATGCACCAGCCACCTCTCAGGGCTGCTGGCAAGACTTCAGAGAAAGCTCCGAGAAAAGCTGGCAGCTGTGGCTGCTCGCTCCCAGGTCAGCTGGGGAGGAAGGAGCCCGAGGGAGCCCCAGGAAGCCAAGGGCATGGAGCCCTCACCTGGCAGGGCAAGACCACAAAGCTGGGGGAGGAGGAGGAGGAGGGAGGAAGAATCAGAATCCCGTGGTGTCTGGGGGTCCCAGCTCTTCTGCACAGGGCAGCCGGGAGCCCCACCAGCCCTGAGACTGGCGTCACAAGCAATGGCACTGTCTTGTTTTAATTTCAGGCTGCCACTCGGCACTGGAGTCAGCCTTGTATGGCCCAGGTGCTTTCTGAACAACAAGCTCCGTGCCACAACAGCTGAGTTTTGGCTCTCACAAGCTACTTCCCTTGATTTGTTTTGCTTTTTAAGCCTTTTCTACTTGTCAACAAGGTTTGTTTACACAGAGCAAAACAGCCCCTTTCTCCAGTACAGAGCCACTTGCAGGGAGAGGGGCTCGTGCAAGCCAGACTTGAGTTTTTAAACTTTCTTCTTTTCCCAGGACAGACCCAAAGGGAGAGAGCCGAGAGGAGAGAGGCGCAGACGGGGCGGCCGCTTGCTCACCTGAATACGCTGATTTCCTCATGCTGTTCCTTCGAGCTGCTCATAGGAAGGGCAGCCAGCGCCGGGACGGCTCCGCCAGCTGTCCCCGGGGTGCTGTGCCACGGGCTCAGTCCTTTTGTTGGCGCAGGCAGGGCCGGGGAGGAGACGCGCACGCCGCCACCGCATCCACGCGCGCGGCTGCAGCCGAGGGGCAGCCCCGCGCTCCCATTAATTAGCGCACACCTTCCCTAATCACGCACTCGGTTATGGGCTGTTCCAACTCTCCTGGCACCGGCAGGGGTAGAGCAGGGCTCAGCCTCCCCGGCGGCTGCACGTTATCGCCCTAGGGAACAAAGGGGATCTGTGGGTTACTGCTGCCGGCAGCCAGCCCTGGAAGACGCGGTGCGGTCGGTCAGCGCGGCAGGGGGAGAAGAAAGGGAATTTCGTGCCTCCAGCCCGGCACACCCCACAGCTTTGACTCGGCCCCCGGCTGCCAAAAGAGCTCAGGTCAGCGCTGTTCTGGAGCCTGGCAGTTCCCAGCTCAAAGTGCACGAGCGGCCGTCGGCGCCCAGCAGCACCAACACCTCTCCCCTCGCCGAGCCCAGGCGTAAAGGGCTCATTCAGGGCTGCAGGTCGAGGGAGACGCTCCTGCAGGCTCACACCGTGGGGAGAGCTCCCCACGAGTCCCGGATCAAATAACTGGCTTCCCAAATGCACGGGGATCTGGCAGCCCCCTCCCTGTTACCCAGTTTTTATTTGGGGAAGGGAGGCTCCAGGTGGAATTCCTCCTGTGCCTCAGCACATGGGGCTGTGGGGAGAGCAGGCGTGCTCCGGATCAGTCCCTGGTGAAACACCTGTTGGACAATTAGTGACACAAACGCAGTAAAGCTGGGGGCATTATTAACACAGACGGGAAGGAGCAGCAAATTAAGGCTAGCGATGACTAAAGGCACACTGAGGTGCAGGAAGAGGGATGGAGCTGATCATGGCAGAGATTTCCCCTACCTGGGAGATTGGGAGATGAGTCACCCACAGAGGTGCGGAGCCTGAGTCCCAGCCATCAGACACTTCCACCAGCTTAAAGGCAGGGGTTGCTACGAAGGGGTTTTTGGTTTGTTCCCTCTTGTTTTCTCTTTGTAGTTTTGGACTTCTCCATAGTAGAACTCTTCTTCACCCCAGCCCTAATGCTGGCATCTGCCAGGGACAGAGAAACAGTGGATGGTTTGCAAGGTTACAGTGCCATCTGTATTTGATACCATTTCTCAGCTGCAGATTATCACCTCTATAATAGATATGAAAACAAAACAACAACAAAAAAACCTGTCTGAACCTCTCTTGGTCATTTAAAACACAATTTGAAGACCATCTGAAATTTCTGGGGCAGCCAGTGCTGAGCACTCAGGCTTTGCACTGAAACAACTTGGGAGCCCCTAACTTGTTCCTGGGGTGCCAGCAGCAACCCTATCACTGCTGCATGGCCACGTTGAATTAACGCAACACTGCGGTCCTAGCAGGGAGGTTTTCACAGAGCTCTGTCATCACAAAAAAACTTTTGAACCACCAAAGCCCATGTTACTTAAGTAAACATATCTCTAAGCCCATAGTAACAAGATATTACCCTTTCCACAAGTTCTTCTGTAACCATTAGTCACAATCCATGGAGGAGAAACAATAGCACAATGGCTTGCCCCACCTTGCACACCAAGCAAGGGCAAAGTCAGGGGCAGAACCCACTCCTGAGCACAGCTCTGCTCCTGCCTGCATCTCTCCCATGGGCACGGCAACTTTTCATACCCTGTGCTCATGGGGATACATTTTACAGAATGTCAAAAGAATTTTCAGCTCTTCTTGCACATGGGTGTACGTGCACATGTGCCTGGTTAAGTGTGATTGCACGTGCAGGGGTGCACTGAAGCATACGGTTACATGTGTGTGTGATTTTGTGCAGTGTGTGCCTGTGCCTCTGCGGGGCTGCTGGTGACCAGCACATCGAGCCACGGCTGGGGTACAGCCGTCCGATCGGCTTGGCTGCACAAACACAAACAGCAAATTGTGCAGCAGGCTTTCTACCGCGGGGCCAAACAAACACGATGAGACAGAAAATGGCCGAAGGGATTTCTCTGAAATATCGGCTGACAAAGGATCCTTTTATTTGGCTGCCCAGGCCTCGGAATTACCAAGAGAGTCAGCACTTCGGCTCAGAAGGGCAGGTTAATGTTTAATACAATACAGAGCCCACAGGCTTCGAATAGGTAAGTCATTTATAGCTTTTTTTTTTTCCTCCAGTTTCGTAAGATCAGCAAGGGAATTTATTGCTCCTGAAAGCAAGGGGATCAGGCTGCAGGCTCAGCCCAGCTGCAGGAGCGGCAGACACCACCGAGCCCCCTGCACCTAACCCTGACCCTGCTCCTGCAGGAACCCCCCCCTGCATAACCCATCCTGCTCCAGCACGGCGTTGCTGGAAGTACACAGCTGGCAGCAGCTGCTGGAAGCTGCACCATTCTCATTCATCCCTGCCTGGCCATGCCCAACTCCGTGCACATGGCATTGATTTCCATGAGGCATGAGCACAGGAGGGCTCACCTGAGCACTGCCTGCACCTCCTGCTGCTGAGCCCAGCCCAGCTGTGATGCCCTCCACTGCTGCTAACCCATGGCTTAGTGTGCAACACCCACACTGTAGCTCTGTGATAGGCACGAGAAGCATCTTCTGTGAGCAGTATGTGCTGTCTCCCCCAGTAGCATCCTCCAGGCAAGCACGTTCCCCAGCACGTGGGGGTCCTGCACTGAGATATGCAATCTCCCAAGCTAAACATCGTGCAGCGATCAGAGGAGCGAGAGACAAGCACTGCCTGCTACGTGTGGTGGGCTGGGGCAGGGAGCCAGAGGCTCAGGGAAGGGTCAAGGTGAGGGAGAAACTGGGGGAGGCAACAGCACCAAGTAATGCATGGAGCAGTGAGGAGGGGAGAGCAGAAAGGAGGAAGGGGAGAGGATCTGGGGAAAGAAAAATACAATCTCATGGACTGGAATAAAGCTAGACAGTTTGGTATGCTGAGCTGCATGAATGCATCTCTCCAACTGACTCATTCAACCTCCCTGACCAAGTTTCTCAGCTTGCAAAAGGGAAGTTGAGTTTTCCCAGGGCGGGGGGAGGCTGAGCATTACTCAGTGCTGCCCTGCGGCTTGCAGGCATTGCCTGGTAGGCAGAAGTCACTGTTACAGCAAGGAGCAGAGCTCCCTGGGTGACTAGCAAGGAGGAGAAGCCAGAATTTATGCTGCAAAGACCCGCTGGTGAGCACAGGGCAGGCCTCAGCCTCCTCTTTGGGGAACAGTATCTCTGAGTGATTTAGAAGTGGAAACTCAGGTGTCCGGGCTGTAAGCCACCCACATCTTCTCCAGCTCTGTTTGTTTTACATATGATCCTCAGAGCAACATTCCCCTGACCAACTGCTCTTTCGTGGCTGCAAGAGAGGATGCAAAAATTTTCCAGCCCTGCTCTCTGCCAACAACCCAGCCTCCCCAGCACAGGCAGGCAGCTGCCAAACCAAGCCTTGTCGGTGCTGCTCACCTAAAAGCCCTACGAAACTCAGCTCAGACAGCCTTCAGAGTGGAGAGAAAGAAAACAAGAGGGGAAGGAGACCACACAGATGAGACCTTGGAGCTTCCAGCAGAAAGAGGCAGGCAAGAGAGGCTGCTTTGGGTGCTGCATGAGCAGCAGGGCCTGAGTCACACCATGTACTTTGCAAAGTCCAGCAGCCCAGATGCACCAAATCAGGAAAAAAAAAAAAAAAAAAAAGGCCAGGCAGCTGACTGCTGCCCTTCTGGGCAGCCAGAAGAGCCCTGTGCCAGGGGCCTGGCCACTGGAGCTGTGCTGGAGACTTTGCACGGTCCCTGCTTTGCACAACCTGCAACTTCCCCTGTTGGTGCCCAGGACAGCACGATGCTTGTGAGAAGGGACAAGAGCCAAGCAACCAGTGCCAGTCACTTGCAGCACTGGCAGGATCTGCCCTTCTTTCCACCACTGCCTCGAGGAAATTGAGATATTGTGGCATCTCTGATTGCTCTTCCTTTTCCCTGGAGCCCTAAAGGAGCATTCACTGATACAAAGTGCTGGTTGTGCGGCAGTTACTTAATCCTTACAATGCCCTGGTTATTTAAGTTCATCATTATCCTCATTTACTCCAAAAAAACTGAAAACACAGATTTTTATTTCTAATGGCTCTGGGGAAAAAAAAAAATAAAAATGTCAAAGCAGGAATTACAGCTCTGGGCTAGCTTGTTACTACCTAGCTTTGCAGCTGTAGGAATATTGGGACTGTCAGCTCCGAGCTGGTCTCTTATAAAAACATACCTTCCCAGATCCTCAAGGAGATAGGAATCAGCTGCATAATCAGTTTCTGATAGCATTCCTGGAAAATATGGGCTTGGCAGGGCACAGCATGTAGAGGTCTCAGGGACTGACTAGCAGTGACCTGGAACTGCCTCACCTGCTTGTCCCACACCCGGGGTAACTCAGAGACTTCCCAGCCAAGGAGCTTCTGAGCCCCAAGCAGGGGCACACATAAATCCTGTGCCTGCCCCATTCAGAAGCCAATTCTCAAGGTTGCAACAAGGAAATAAAGAGATTTATGAAGTGCATTTGGGGTGACTTGCTATTCAGGAGCAACAGCATCACAGAGAGGGGGCAGTCATGTCTGAGAGGAGCTCAGGTCCACAGGGATCCAGAATCTCCTACTTCAAGTTATGGCTGAGGTTTCAGCTAAGCCCATGTAACTGACGAAATGAACAAGGCACAATTACCCATCCCCAGTGATACCTGGTACAGCGTGATCACCAGTGGCTCCATGTGCGTCCAAACACAAATACAAGCCAGAAAACTAAATGACAGCAGTGCCATACGCCATCACCAAGGGCCACAGCTAAGATGCTGCCACGTTCCAGTTCTGAGCCGCTTTCTTCTCAGCACCAACCAGGATCTCACATAGCATTTTGCCTGCTCCACAGCAGGACA